TTGAATTTAGACAGTTGATGTGTTTGATACAGAGCAACGATTATGTCTCTATATCATGATTGTGTACTAAGTACTTTCTGACAGAAACATGAGAAAGGATAGAGGTATCGAGAAGTTTCCACTACCTAAAAACATACTAGAAGGGCGGCCTGCTTGAGCATCTAGGCTACCTGTTCCTGCTACCTGGATATTTCAACAAGTTATCTATTTTTGTTTGTTTTATTATATCATTATGTTCATTAATCGCATAACCTATTCTGCTGTGTTTCTGAAAAGTGTACAACCCTTCGTTGTCAAAGTTACAAAAAACTCAATAAGAGACAATGTGGTTGCTGGCAATATACAACGAAAAGAATACACATTATTCAGATGTTCATTTACTGAAGTGCTGACATCTAACTGGCGATCACTCAATATTTATCTCCAGGACCGACCAAGAAGAAAGAAACGGGAACTTGTTGAAATACTTTGCGCTGAGAATTCTATATTGTACCAAAAATATAATATTGAATAAAGCTGATGATAATAATAATAATAGAAGTATAGGTAAATGATGGTCCAATCTTATGAGCAATTATTATTAAGGTACAATATATCATTTCAAAATACCAAACTATTATGAGTTTATCCAGAATTTTAGCAACCAAGTGATATTTGTAACAATTTAAACTACTACCAAAAGCTCAAGAATTTACTAGCTTATATTAATAAAAATTATTAATTAAAATACTTGAAATAAAGCATCTTTGGAGCAATATTTTATTTTGAACACACAAATAAGCTGTGAGCGATCAACATTAGGATCCCATTGTAAGGTGTCGGACAAATATGATACTACGATAAAATAATGATAAATCCCATAAACACAGTGATGTATGATTGGAATCCTTGTAATTATAAAGTGTGAACTCTAATTGTTGAAGGAATTTAAAAGCACATAACAGCAAAACTCATGACGTCTTTTAGAGACAACGCATTATGTTCTGTGCTAACGGTGATGTGAAGTCATAAGCTGATGATAAGACAGGTACGAGGATTCGTTGTGAGGGATTAAATACGCAGAAAGATGGAAAAAACTGTCGTACGAATACTCATTAAGTGACACTGTAGTATATGACACAATAGCCTGTCGGAGGTAAAAATGAAAATGAAATAAATAATGTGGAAAAATAAGGTATGTGAGATTTATGGTTTATAAAAGCACGCAGATGAAAGCGGAACAAAAAGTTAACGCTTACAAACAAACAATAACAATTAACATAAATTTTGGATCGCCCTGATGAAATGGTAGCTTAAAAGTTTGTTTCAGTTGGTGTAAGAAATTCAGACGAATATTCCTAATATTTATCATGCAAACCAGGAAACTAAGTTTTATTTGATAAAGCTAAGGTATACTTTCTTCAAAATGTTGCTTAAACTAGAGTAATAAAACAATAAATTGTTATAAAATAAAACAATAATAATACAACCCAAAAGTCTCCCATGTCGGAGCTAACGATATTATTCAGTTGCTCAGGTATTAATAAGCAAGGCGAGGTTCAAACATGAGCTTGACCTCTTGAGATTTTAGAGTTTAAACTATGGAGATACAACTTTAGCAGAATGATAGGACCACTAAGTGTTTAAAATTCCCTACATGTGCGTCAGTACCACCGAGTTCGAGTCATGTTATTTAACGTTGTAAACCGATGACTAAATATACCTCGCCAACCGTAACCGGATAGCCCACATTTTTGAGAACAATTCAGACTACTAGTTAGTAACTCATTCCATATCTTGGTTAGATAGCCCCGAGTCCTTTTTAACTTAGCTAAATAGCATAGCGCGCCAGGGTATGTGGAAGTCATGCATTATGCAACACGTAGGCAGTTTTGGAAACTTGGAACATACATGTCTTTAACTTTCAGTGACTTTGTTTTACGATTGTAGAGTAATACAGAGTGGATTATTTTCGACATACTTTTTGGTAGACAAATTGACACTCAAATGTACCACGCTTGACTAAAGCTAGGAATCAAACGGGCATTTAACATCTGCGCAAAGATTCCATTAGTCAAGTTCGGTGAGATTATTAAGGAGGTTAGACATATTTGAGTTTCCCAACTACCATGATCTGAGGAACAAGGAGAAAGTTATGCAACTTTCTGACCACCTTAACACTTTAACTAAGAGCTTGTATTGCAACAGACTAAGCAAACACCAGGTGAAGGACTGGAATATTTATTATCTTCGTGCATTTTACTTTCAGTAAATGGACTAAACTTTCTGAATAATGTAAATTGAAAGTCACAATGTGAAATTACGTCATCATTATGGTTTGTTTAGTGGTTATGAAGAGCCTCAGTATATTGGAAACGTACACCGTAAATATGCTGGAAATACTGACCCAGAAAATAGTTATGGTAATGATCAAATTATTTCATCAATATGATACGTTTAGACTTTCATCATGAGTCCAAACACATGTGATGAATAAGTAAATCGCGTGATAATTCGAACTGTATTAAAAGACGGACTGAACATTTTCAGTTGAAACACGTACTACGTTTTAATCAATGTAGTTAGAGACGTTTAAACATGGAAACCAGTACTCAGTGGCGTACTACAAGGTTCTGTTCTAGATCATTTACATTTTGTATTATACGTAAATGAACTCCTGTGCACCGCTAAACCCCCAATCCTATTTTATACTGATAACGCCAACAGTAACGGGAGGCGAAGATGCACGTACACTCCTGGCCAACCTAGATGTTTTGCTTAACTGATCTTAAATCAATCCCTCTAAGTGGATCTGCATGAACATTGGAGATGCAAAAGTAAATAATTACAGTACTGAGGAAGGGTCGGTGCCTTTTAGTCCTATCTCACAATGTCCTAGGGGTAGCGGTGAGCCACAACTTTAAGATCACGGTCCGTTGCCGTGCGGTTGAAGCTGAAGGGTTCAGAACCATATGGACTTCAGGATGAACATTTACCAGGTTGGATATAAGTATGTCCACCACAGTATACACAACCTTGGTGGGACTCAAAGTTGAAGACTGCGTCTAGGCTGCAGACCACCATTCGAAATGTGAATCTTGATCATGAAAACAGTAAAAGAATAGCTACCTGTAGGATTCCAGAATTCACACATACAATGGCTTGAGAAGTTTTACTTCTTTACTTTGCCTTGCTGCAGATACAGAGGTAATCTGATTATGATGTATAGAATAGTTAAAAATGGTTTTGGACCTGAAGGTATTACATCTTTTCCTTCACAACAGATTAGAACAACTCAGAGTACATAACAGGCGAGTTCAAAGGCCAAAAAAATGAACAAAATAACTATGCTAACAGGTTTTCACATCGAGTCATCAACTCTTGGAGTTTGATCTACCCGAAGTGGTTGGTGAGATAACTTTAACTTAACTAAAACATTACCGAAATAAAGATTACGTTTTCATCCGTTCGTCTTCACTGATATAAGAAATGTAATTACTTTACCAACTTCAGGTTTATGAACTCGACTCTGAGACATAGAATTCACTAGAATTCATAACATTCACTGATATACGACTACCTGTAATAGGTGGTGTTTAAAGGAACTATTCATAACACACTGTTAAGTTTATTTCTATGAACATATATAAATCTTGGTTGAAAGATGGTCATTTGATAAATGACTTCATATTTTATTTACTAGAAGCTCATAGATGAAAATTATGTCTTTTGGTTGTAACGTTAGCTGTGTATAGACACAGTAATTCAACAGATGAAATACATGAACTGGAGTGAAATGAATTTTTGAAGATTCACGAAGAAATGTTATCCGATTTCGAGCAGTTTTATATGAATTAAACCGACTTAAACAATACCATACTATTTAACAGGATGTTTGGTGCTGTCTATCACCAACGACTTACCCCAAGTTTGTCAAATCCAGTAGGATTTTTTTGATACCAAAGATTTAAGACTGTTCTTCAACGTTGAGGTTCAAGCGCAAATTAATCATACTGATTGATACCGGCTTATCATAAACATATTAGGCATGATGAGAACTGATACCCGACAGTACTGTCTGAAAGTCCTTAGAAGTTCATTCTTGATTATCTTTAGGTTTGACAAGACATAAAACCTCTAAAACAATCAAATATACATCACTATTGCTTTTGGGAGATTACTGAATTCCCAAAACTTGTGATAGATACTAAGACCACATTTGTTTTAATAGATCTTTATCAAAGATATTGGACAGTCCCGTTACCCACATAGATACTATAAATACGTTCAGAAACGTCTACATCAATAATTAGATAGGAAGAAGCCTCTAGTATACAGCATTCTAGATGTGGTATTATCCAGATGGGAAATAATTCAGTCCATAAGGTTTAAAATATGAAAACACTGATTTTTATACACTCATGAAATGAGGAGAAATCAAGTTTCCTAGTGAAGCATATTTAAACCAGTGTTATAAAAACATGGGTTAACACTTGAAACGTTTTTTTCGAGTAAGGAAAGTAATTGTGATAAAGGTTTGGTTATCGTTACCACAGTTTTCGCTGTTTTTTTAACATGTGTGCCACAAAAAACTTGCCTCTGGAAATTCTCAGGGCGATTTTAAATAAAGTTTGGTTAGTGGGATAAACATAGAAACGCTATAAAGTTTAATTTCAGATGTATAGGACCTACGTGGAAGAGCGAGTACCAGTGTCACACAGGATTGATTCACAACTTAACGACATACGAATATATGTTAATAGACTAGTACAATGACTAGAATCACAGAAATGCAAACAACATAACAGAATTAAGCAGAACAATCTCTACCTGGTATAAACCGATATGTTGAGCAATAAAATAAATTCAGCTCTTAAAGTTTCGTACATCGAAGAACGCGTTATTTCAAACCTTCACTAAAATTTTAAAAAAGTGGTATAATGATATTTTGAAATGAACAAATAACGAATAAAATATTACACATTTCTTTGTTTTAACTGTTGTCATGACAACATTTAAGCTCTCAACTTAAACATATGTGAATTTAAGGGGAAGGGCCGTTAATTGAATTATCTCTCTGAATAAACTGTTGCATTGCAGTCGGAGTAATATATCACTTTTTGGCACAACATAACCGATATCTTAAACGTGTTAATATGCGATGATGACATGTCACCCTGTGTTTCACCATATATTTCCAAATCACCCTTCATGTATTCAAGGGTTTTTAGTTCTTTTTACACCTCGCGTTGTCACATATTCGTCGACGGCTTCTAAGTTTCATGGCCATATGAGTTCATCATGGTTACTAGGCAGTACTAATATATTTGCATTATTTCTGGAAGCACATAAAATAAGCAATGTATAGCTAAATCTTTGTCGATGTTTTAAACCAGTGTGATTATGATTATGGTTCACGGTCGGTGGTTAGGGTTAGGAACCAGATTTATGGTTTTCATCACTAACTGACATCAGGTAAAATGCCAAGGCGCTATTTAGCCAAATGGATGAACTTAACACCTGTTATCCTATATCTGACTGATTCGTCCATAAATTGTGATTTCGCCTGTTTATTAATTACGTGTGCTGGAATATATCTATGTCTCACCACAGTCAGATCTCTTTCAATGAAGAATTCGGTCAAACATGATGAGTGAGATGCTCTGAAACCACTTTTTATCTCTGATAAAAGATTACTTCCTCCAACGTGACGTTAAATAACGGCTCGAATAATCTTCATTAGTTTGATAATGATGCTAGTTGGACAAACCTTTCAATTGTTGACTGGATGTTTACAAGGCTATGGCATCCTTGGAGTATATTTGCACTTTTTGCTGCCTTAGAGATATATCAAACAGTACTCTCAATGGCTAAGCAATCATATCCTCCAGGACTTCCATGATTCAAGGACGAGTATTGTCAGGACCACTAGGCTTATCTAGTCTGACATGTCAGAGTATTTGTTGAACAAATTCCTCCTCAGTAAATATAGGATCCGTCGAAAATTGTTAGAACTAATGTCCGGGCTCTCAACATCACATTTTGAAAAATCACCGAACTACTTAAACGAGGCTTTATTGACATCACTAATTGACAATCTCAGTGAATTTCCTTGCAGCGGTATTTCATCACTTTTTTGAGTTCACCTCACTATATACAAGAGCAACCATTTATGACTGCTCTGAGGATCTAAGACCAGAGGTTTCTCATAAGCTAATAAAACTTTACTCATAAACATTTCTGAGGCGTTTCTAGTTTTACAGCAAATGGATTTGAATTGTTCTGAGTTTGAAGAGGTGAACAGGTTCCTATGTATCTTTTTATATCTAAGATACTTTTTGACCCATTTTGTTATCTGTGACAGATACTTGTTAGATCTATGTGATTTTAGGCGTGACATAAATAAGAACGTAACCTTAGAAATAAGTGATATCTTACCAGTTATTGAGTTAATGTTAAATCACTCATCCATCACTCAAGCACATTCGCTAAAGGCCGGAATGCTTACTCGCCACATATTTAGGGGAGTTTAAGTATGGTCACTGGTTATGTCACAGATCCGGACCGTTGCTGCTACCTTGACGTGGTGGTCGGTCTTGTCTATCGTGATGACCCAATCAAGCTATATTGGCTGGAACATAAACATTTACCAAATATTTCTTTCAAACTGTATAAATAACTACAATCCAGTAAATATCTTCTGATCAAATTGCAAATGCAAGTTCGAACAGTAAAATAGTTTAATCAGGGCCAATTCCTTTTCGATTTGTTTTTTAACAATACTACAATTGGTTTGAGAAGTACACAAATGATTCTTATGATATACGACTTTGCACTTTCAGAATTTACGGAAGCAGGAAGCGAAGTAAACTAATCAAGAGAATATGACAAAGATTCCTTTAAATGACACAGAATTTGAATATCTAAGAACTACACTTATATCAGAATCAACAAGTGTTTCAGATAAATTTGATAAGCTGTATTATTCTAAAGGATACCTTACAGGAAGGCAGGTAGGTAGACAATAAAAGGATTTTGGAGATTGAAAAAATTAAATATCTTCTTTGCAACATCGTTTAAGTATACCTCATATTTAGACTAGTTCCAATTGTCGTTTGAAACATTAATAAGTCACGAAGATATAATGAAATCTGTCTGTTTGAAGTTCTTATTTTTTGAAACTCATCCTGAAATGCATAACAAACGTTTTTAAATTCACTCATTCAGTGAACACGAGCAGCTGCCAAACTGCCCCTATATTTGTTCGTTCTCTGATTGATCGTCAAATTTTGGTATTTTGGGTAGTGAAGATTATTAAATTCCGTGGTTTTACATTATGGACTAACTTGAGATAGACAACTTTTAAGAACCAGCAAGTGCTGCTCAGCTGTTTCATCCTATAACGAAACTTTATGAGTATGGATACACAACTCCACTAAGGCTCGAATCCTGAACCTTCAGGCCTTGCAGAAAGTATTTGATTTTCGGACCACTGAGTTATCATCCAGTAGTTTCTATTTATAACTTCAACCGATTTACGATATCATGATTTAGGTGCGAATCATTCAGATTGACAGTATTTTAGTGAAATTTTTTAGTCTGTAATGTATTTGGGACAACCAAGTGATTAGTGCTGACGTTAAGGTCATGACGTTTGTGGAGATGTAAAATTCACCGACTATTATGTAAAATTTCATCTGCCGACGTGATTGGGAAATACGTTGCGGATGTCCACCCACTGTGTAACATGACTATTGATGTTACTTGACGTAGAATTAGGTTGAAAGAGAGCTATAGGAGGTAAAGATAAAAGATAACATCAGTTCAGGTAGTCGTATAATGATAGTCAGGGCAGTGTGAATGGGTTTAAACCGCTTAGTTGAAATCCCTATGTTAATTGTGATCACGAATTATAAGGTAACGTGACTCAAGATAGATCAAAGTAGGGCGAACTGATTTATTGTCTTTCTTCTTATTCTTAAATTTTGTTAGTATTATATCACAGTTTTTACTTCTATATTTTAACCCTTCGTCTCATATTCCATTCTCCATTCTTGATAATTTTCATCACTTTGCGTACTATTTCTTTGCATAGTGTATTATTCATTTATTCTCACCGTGTGTATATTAGGTATGAAAACTTAAAACTGTGTTTAGTTGTGCATGTCACTGAGTTTTTTTATAATTTACTGACAAACGTATTTGGTGCAGTACAGTAAGACATTTTCCTTAAAAATATAATTATTATACACAGATGTTTTTTTCTCTAAGGTTCTCCCTGTAAAATAAGTGAATACCAAATAGAATGGTTCGAATCCTGATTCTAGGTGATCAGTCAGGTGGTGTATTTGAACGAATACCAATCTATGTATTAATAGTCTGGATTATTTGTCAAGGTTTAACGCGGTTATTCTAACCTTCATGTCATGGAGAATTTCCATGTCGAATTGTTGACAAATTTGGAAAGTGCAGTAGTTTTTATACATGTGATGAAATATTGAAAAATTAAATAGTGAATTAATTTGAACTTTGCTGGTGTTTTAAAATATCAGAACGAATGATATACACAAAGGGATTAGTCTCACAGTGATAAAATTTTAAATATCAAGATTGAAATCATGACCGATATACATACATAAAACTATAAATAACTAACAACTTAAACATGGAGATGTAAAATATCAACTAACGTCAACCTACTACGTTATTTGAAGGACATTATCGGTCCCACCACTAGACTTTGCAAAAATTTCCATCGTTTGTACAGAAATTTTATTCACTAAAACGGGAAATTTTAACATGTGTTGAAAATTACTAACCACTAGCAAGCTAAAAAATCGGTCTCATGCAGTACAAATTTCTTTATTTATTTTATACTTTCGAGTTCTCATGTTCATTCTTTCTTTTTCAAAGAGTGCTTCTAACATTTGATTGCCCACTTTATTTTGTATCAGACTTTTAAAGTCCTTTATTTGTGAGAATGTTAACTACTGTAACTTCGACTGATGGACTTTTTGTGTAGTTTTCAATGACTATGTATAACTAATTGCATAAAAAAGCAGCTCCAAATATATCGACAATGCTATCTGATGAATAAACGTCATACGTAGACGAATGAAACCATCATATATACATTTAATTTTTTTTAAATGTTAGTTGAAAGTTTGTTTATTTATCAATTACTAATCAAATATCAACAGAGTGATTGCTTTTCACTCGACCCATACATACACCATGAAAGTAGAATTTGCTGCTCCTAATTTATCTGATTTCATAGGATAAATTTTGTCGGCTGCAGTCGTCATCGTATTTCAATATCTGATACCATAAAAATATCTGAGAATCATCGAAATATCTTGTCTATCATGAAAACAACTTCATAGTATTTTTATTATTAATTAACTAGGCTACTGATCATTAATTTCCCTTTCGTTGTCACTCATATTTTTAGGCTGCTGCCATTTTAGCTTGTTATAAAACAGCTCCAGAAAGAGTCCGGGTGATAAAAGCTTTACAAAAAGTACGTTTACATCCTTTTAATAATATATGTATCATTACCACCGTTTGATTTGATAATTTCGAATAAATTGAGGATTGGGTGGACTGTTATAGATAAATAATATGGTCTGATATTGAATATTAGTCATGACTGCAAACTCTACCCGTTGTTTTACTTCAATTCTCTCGTTTATTTTTCCTTGTAGAGATTATGCCGTATGACATGTGCTGAAGCAATTGAAATATTAAATGTTTTACAATCAACCAATTATGATCGATTATTTGCATTAGACTGCATTAAACAGTAAATTATTTGTTACTCGATTAATTGTTTCAAATAATTAACTAATTTTTGTGCTTAGTTTACGTAAGTTTTAGAAAATAAATTATTAAAGTGCAGAGAGGTTTCAAACTATGGAGTGACAGATGTTTTTTGTTAGAGATGTTCAGCTCATAAATAAGATCTCAATAGTTACACCTTTTCTGAACTAGATATTTCACTTTTAAAGCCTTTGATTGTCTTCACTGGCGACTTTTAAAAGAAGTGAGCTATTGGAATTTCGCTACAAGTGATGGGCAGTTTGTTCTCATGATATGGATGGATTTGATTGGTTGTTAATGTCAGCTATCCTTTCATAAGGCCTGTATATAGTTCGGTAGTTATTTTCTCTTCTACTCTTTTTTTCATTGTAGCTTGTCAACATCCTTTTCGATTTAGCTAATTATAAAATACTGACCGCTTGAATAATAACTTGAATGCTATGGCTTTAAGGATTGTTTGACATTTTTTATGTTGGATTTGCGCAGGGTTTCAATATTTTCTCAGTTGAATTCATGTTCACACATATGATACACATGAATATGGGTTATAACGTTAAGATTACCAATTTATTTTTACGTATATCAGGTTGAAAAGGGTCGTCACTTTGATCTCATCTTCCTCAAGGTTTCGACAATTCATTTTGCAAATGTTTCCTGACTCACCCTCTTTTGTCTTTATGTTTATCAGGTCCAGTTATGTAGATTAAAGGGATTATGTTGATTCGTAGGTTACAGTTGGGCCTAAAAGCTCATAATAGTCTGATATATTCATCATGTATGTTATAAACGTCCCAGGTAAATTTTATACTTGATCGTGATTTAATCACAAACTTCCGAAATTACCATTGAACGTGGTATTTTTCCTCGCTGAGTAAATTTCATTGTTTTGATCGTTTATTACGTATCAAGACTACTGTTTTTCACTTTAATTGAATTTATTTCAGTTAAAGTATTTGACTAAAGTATCGTTTTTACTGTTTTGTCGTTGGTACTCTTTAGTACCTCTTTTTCAACTGTATCTGTTAGTACTTTTGGTCCTAGCAATCTACAGCTCTTCACTTTTTTGGTCATTGATAATTTTTTTGTTTCTGGGTATCATCGCATATTGAAAAAACCCCTCCTAAATGACCGGACAGTGTAAAAAAAGCAGTTGCCAACGTCCGGGTTGTCGTTATCCTGTTGAAAGCGGCATGCAGTGCGACGAGTGCAAAGGCTGGTACCACGAAGTTTGCACGAACTTAACGCCTGCTGCTTTCAAACGGTTCAGTAAGAAGGGTTGTGTGTGGCTTTGTCAACAGTGCTGCTCGGATGCAAACAGCTTGTTAACCGAGGCCATCTCACTGGTTGATGCTGCAAAGAAGTGTTTCAACAAGCATAGTCGGAACGCGTCAAACAGCACTCGATCTGTTGACACGCAAATCAATGTGAAGGAAACTAAGGTGAGTCCGGTGATAGATGACTCACGCCCGTCAAAGAAGGAAAAGCAGTCTCCAAAGGGGCCTGCCTTAAAAAAAGCTCAAGAAAAGTAGGGTCTTCTGTTCCCCGTCTCCCAGATGGGATCCAACAGGAAACACCTAGGAGCCGCAATCGCAAGGCTCGATCGGTTTCAAATGGTAAACATAACACGACCCCTCAGGTCGTCGACAACCCCCCAAAACCCAACACTAGGTTTGACGCAACTGCTATTGCTTCTACCAGCAGCGTTGACGAATGGGTAAAGGTTGTAAGGAAGAAAAGTATTGATATAAAAGGGAAACCTGCCCCCGTAAAAGTGGTTGAAAAATCGAAAGCTGATCATAGCGACAGATCAGCTATTTTTCATAGAATTAAGGAGAGCGATAGCTCTGAACCTAAAGCTCGTTTTGAGCATGACATTGTACTGATTAGGCAGCTGCTTAATCAACTCATGCCTCAAAATATGACTGGGGTCACCTTGCTAAAGGTGTATAGACTAGGGAGTCTAACGGACTCGAAACCAAATCATTCCAGACTGCTTAAAGTAGTATTCGGCTCTTCAAACGAACGTGACCTAATTTTACAAAATGGACACAAATTAAAGGGTTCAGGAGTCTTTATCCGAAAGGACCTACCGTTGGCAGACCGTGTTAAAAGACGGGAAGCCGAGAAAGAACTACAACATAGGTTAGACGCTGGCGAAAAGGACCTGAAAATTGTAAATTTTCGGGTTGTAAGACTTCGACAGAGAATGATGCCGAAGCCACTCTGGGTGAAGCACGAAGGCACTTAAACAGGCTTCGGATCTGTTACACCAATGCACGAAGCTTACTTAATAAGCGATCGGAACTAGGTGTACAGATTGACTCTATAAAGCCAGATATAATCGCAGTAACAGAAACCTGGCTGACACAGGCTATAGATAGTATAGAACTTGATTTCGAGGGCTTTACGTTAGTAAGGGCCGACAGAACACAAAAGCGCAAAGGAGGGGGAGTAGCTCTATTCATTAGGAATGCTATCCCATTTACCATTATCGATAGTGTATCCCATGAGAGTGGGACGTGTGAATTAGTTAGTCTTCGCTTAAAATGCAAGGGACAAGAGCTGCTGATTGGTTTGGTCTATCGCAGTCCAAGCTGTGAGGCAAATGAGATCCTGTTAAGCAGTCTCAATACTTGGTCCCAAAGTGGTCGATGTCTAATCCTAGGGGACTTTAATGCACCTATGGTAGACTGGGAAAATCTGCGAACTGAATCGTCAGAAAATTCCTTCGAGCAGGAACTAGTTGATGCGGTTATCACATGTGCCCTAGTGCAACATGTGAAAGAAGCGACTAGGTACGACCCGGACACTGAATCATCCTTATTAGATCTTATACTGACTCACTATGAGGATGATGTTGCGAACCTCCACCATATGCCACCCTTAGGTAAAAGTGACCACGCAGTTTTAACTTTCGACTTCCATATAACTGCCAGTCATGAGGACGCGTCAGTCCAGTCCAGACCCAACGTCTGGAAAGCAAACATACCAGACATCATGCACTCAGCATCGTTAATAGATTGGACAATAGACCCAGAGTCCTCCATTGAAACGGCCTGGGACGCATTTCGAAAATCATACTTAAAAGTTACCACACCTCACATCCCTTGGACTATACCAAAGGGGCCGAAAAACTCACCACCATGGTTCAGTAGGGAGGTCCGTATCCTTCTCCGTAAGAAAAGGAAAACGTGGGATAGATTTAGGTTACTGGGGACTGATGAGTCAAAATCTCAGTATCGAAAGGCTCGGAACACTTGTGCCTCGACCCTCCGTAAGTCTAGAAAATTGTACGAAGAAAAACTTGTTAAGGAATCCATAGAATGTCCTAAACGCTTGTATTCCTATATAAACCAAAGGACAAGGAGAAAAGGAAATATTCCTGCTCTATGGGGAGACAGTACTGCTTCATCATTAGTGGAGGACGACTTTGGTAAGGCTCAAGCGTTCTCGAACTACTTTAGCAACGTGTATACCATAGAAGCGCCCTTCTCGTCAGCGTATACAGATCCCCCCATACATACACTGGATAGCGTGACCATTAAAGAACTCGATGTCTTTGGTCTGCTAAATAAGCTTGACATAGGTAAATCCACGGGGCCCGATGAATTACATCCTAGGCTACTGAAGGAATTATCTAACTTCGTTGCGAACCCTTTAAGTACATGCTTTAACCTATCCGTTACGCAGGGTCGCTTACCGAAAGATTGGAAAAACGCCATAGTAAGTCCTGTCTTCAAAACAGGCACGAAACACAAACCTGAGAACTACCGCCCCGTTAGCCTAACTAGTGTGGTTGTTAAAATATTAGAAAAGATTATTCGGAAGGAGCTGTTTAAGTATCTCGATAAAAACCGGATCCTCTCGGAGAAGCAGCATGGCTTCAGAATAGGTTATTCTTGTCTCACTAACTTATTAGTGGCTCGTGAAAGCTGGTGTGCTCTTAAGGACCAAAAGCTACCTGTAGACGTCGCCTTCATTGATTTCAGTAAAGCTTTTGATAAAGTTCCGCACAACCGGCTGTTATATAAGTTAAGACATATCGGGATTGGAGGTAATTTATTGATGTGGATAAAAGACTTCTTAGTTGGGCGTCAACAAAGAGTAAGGGTGAACTCAAAGTTATCTAGCTGGGAAACTGTGCTTAGCGGAGTGCCCCAGGGTACAGTTTTGGGGCCAGTGCTATTCCTCTTGTATGTAAATGACCTTCCTTGTCTCCTATCATCATCGGTCTTGCTATATGCTGACGATGTCAAGATATGGAGAACGATACGATGTAAGAGTGATAGCTTAGAACTTCAAAATGACCTGAAGAAGTTATCTGAATGGTCTCAAACATGGCAGTTGCCGATAAATACTTCCAAGTGTGTTGTGATGCATATCGGTCATCAAGGCACAGATACATACACGATGAATAACACTGAGCTACCTGTCGTCCAGACATATAATGACTTAGGAGTTATCGTTAGTCAAGACTTAAAGACTACTGCACACTGCCGTGCAATAGCCGCCAAAAGTTTTAGAACGTTATGGTCAATACGTAGGGCTTTTAGTCATGTCGACACTAAGACGTTTTTGACTTTGTATACAGTGTTCGTTCGTCCTAAACTTGAGTACTGCATACAGGCGGCTAGCCCCTGCTTAAAAAAGACAGTGAGCTTCTGGAAAAGGTTCAGAGAACGGCGACTAAGCTGGTTCCCGCAATAGCGAAGCTTCCGTATGAATCTCGACTGGCCAAGCTGAACCTTTTCCCGTTGTCATATCGCAGAACTAGAGGCGACTTGATTACAGTCTACAAATTGCTTAGTGATAAATTTGCACCTAACATGCCCTCATTTTTCTTGTCTTCCAAAACAGAGAATTTACGAGGACACTCCAAAAAAGTTCATAAGCCGAGAACAAATTACTTGTCAGCTGACTATCGACTTTCCCATCGAATCATCAACGAGTGGAATTCACTACCTCAGCACGTCGTTGAGGCTCCATCCGTCGACTCTTTCAAAAGAAAGTTGGATCAACTGAGAGACCACCATTGCCAGGACTAACATAGGCCATCGAGCCTCCTGTCCTTCCCAAACTGAACTGAACTGAATAGATTTTCAGTCATTTTAACAACAGAATCAATTGCTTTGTTTCGGTTTGATTATCACCATTAGTTGACCAGTTTTATAGCAGTGATATTGGTTATGGAACTATTGTAAAAGTTTGAGAAGACTTACAGTCTTAGTTAGAAATTCTATAATTGTGTAAACTTACAACTCCAAGCCCGATCTAACAACTGACATACTGGTCTTATAACTAGAATCACTTATTACGACCTTAATGGTCCACATTTTTAATTTCAGTCAAACATTTATATACCGTGATTGGTATTGTTAATGGGTTATTATTTCTCTTTGGTTTGACTGACTTCATAGGCTATTAATTTACGCATGAATTGTACGAAGTCTTCATAACATAATTTAACCAGGATACTTTTGTTGATACGTATATTAATGTTCCTAATTCTTTTTCCTCTTTAACTCATTTACTTTTACCCAAAAATATGTCGGTTTTCACCCTCTCACTTTTTTGTTTTTTGTTTTTCAGTACATTAGTTGATCATGAAACAACTGACGGCATTGAATATATCTTGAAAGCTTTTGTTTATGAAATTGACAAATTGAAAGCCTTACAAATATTGTCAACTGTAATGTTTTAGATTATTTTGTTTTACAAATGATATAATTACTTTTTATTTATTTATATCTACATACATATAGGTTAGTATGTATGTTAAAAAAGAGTTAGCCAGTGGTGGACATCAAGTTTATGCACCATTTGGTGGTCTTTATACCCAAAGCTTTCCAGGTTGTGAGGCCCTCTATGGACCAATTAGTGAACAAATGGCTCTCAAAGATGTAAGAAGTTTTCCTTTTTATTATAAATAAATTTATTACCTTTTGATTAAGTAAATTCATTTGCAGTAAGCAACCCACTTTTACGTTTGTTTTCGCTATATAATAATATTAACTGGAGAATCGTTGAATACCGTAAAGTATCGAAACGTTTACCACACCATGGGGTTGTGTACCTGTGACCACATACCAGATTAAACACAAGACCTTCTGGTCTTGTCAGGATTTTAGACAGAGTTCACATCTTGAACACTAGTCAATGTGGGATTACTGAGTGATAGAGGCAATAACTGTCTAACGTACGCGATAGTTTAGTCCTACCAATCACGATTTCGCACTAGAAGTTCGAGAATTCATTTTAAAGGTAATCATTAGTTAACAATTCTTTTTTGTTCAGTTGAGTGGTTTTAGGATATCAGTTTAGTTGTAAAATGAATCTTACCGAGCACTGATATCATTTGTAGGACTACTTAAAACCATGGAGCGTTGTTTACTTTACTGTCACTTTCATTTTGATAAACTAAGTGAATTGTATCAACTTCAAGCAATATATTGTTTGATGAGGCACAACAATGTTTAATATTGCAGCATTATATTACTTAAGGTAAGCGAACTCATCCTAAAGTTCCTAAGGAGATTGAGTCTTGTACTTTTCTGTTTTAGTCATGCAACGAGGTTGATTTTCTTTTTATTTTATACTCAGATTCGCAACAATTATTAATATTATTTAATACTCATTTATTATTTTTATTTAAATGTGTTTGCTAAAGTGAAGTGCAGATTTCAATGTAAATTGATATTAATTGAAAGTTAACGAAAAACGTTAGACACTAATCAGTTGTCTTATATCATAATAAAGCTTGTCATTCGAGATATGCATATAAACATTCAGGAAGGAAAAACGGATTTTGAATACTTCAGAATGCAAATACTTGTTCAGATTATATTGCAATATTAGGTGTGCTCAAAATATGTCAATATGCTAATTTGAGCCCTCATAAACATATTGCAACTAAAAGTCTAGTGTATAAATGTGTAATTGGTAAATTAATTACAAGTTGTTAGATTTCCCAAACAATATTAAGGGATCTGTTTGTTTTCACTGACATACAGTGACTGGTCAGATCATGTCAGTTTCTGTCGAATAGATTTTCTTTTAAAATGAAGTCAGCTTAAAGTTTTTCAGGGCCATTACTTCCCTTGGAGTCTACATTTTCCTAACTTTCAGGAGATATACAAACAGTTACTTTTTGTCTTATTCTAGTATTTTACCTTAATTAACATCCATAAAGTTCGTTAGAATACTGTTTTACATTTGATGCCACAATTATAAACGCCTAACATCTTTGACACTACATCTTAATGATCGACCTGTCAACTAAATGAAATATATCAGAATTTTTATGTGTGCATATAAACGTAACGAAAAGAAAATTATAAATTGACAGTCTTAAGAAAAGCAATCTAGAAATGAACACGGATTAATGATATTGGAGGTTTAGTTTCGAAATGTTTATATCGATTTATAATTTCATAAATTATTGTTGAATTGCATTATCGTAACGAATGGTAAGATTTAATCATGAAATTTTCACTTGTTCTTTGAATAACAATAAAAATTGCTTCATGAAGCCTTATTATTAAGCTCTTTAGCTAGGGGCTAGGACACTTGAAGGAAGTTAAAGTCAAGTCATGTAAAACCCTGAACCTAGGCTTCATAATAGTTTTCACATATTGTCAGTCTTAGGTTTGAAACCATTGTCGCTAGGAATCCTAATCTGATACTTCGTGGATATCGATAGCTGGCTAGTAACAAGGATTTTTTGGATCTCTTCAAACCAAATAACATCGTACACTGTCTCGTCATTTAGACTAACGGGCACATTCCAAATCAATTGGTGAAATTCAATTAGCACTGAAGACTACATTAGACTGACGATGGTCAATGCTTGGTGGTTAATAAATGGAGAATGCAACATTATCTAATATATGTGCGTCAAAATGTTAGTTATCAAATACATCTGCCAGCGATTTCTCTCAACAACCCATCACTTCTGAGGTTATAAATGACATCAGAGTAATAAGGTCAAAAGAAAAACTTCACGGGGATAATTTGATTTAGAAGATTTTGGTATCTTGGTAAATAACGGATAATAACAAGACCGATTTATATTCTAACGCTCTGCTTCACAACTTCTATGGAAAACACGAGAAAAATATATTTTTTACTTCGTTAGTTACTTATAAGTAGTAAGATGTTTTTTGAAATCCTTTTCGAGAAAAACGAGTCGATTCGTTGAAGAACTTATGGGAAAAGTGATAGAAATAAATTCTAATTTATTTTTCTCAAGTGACCAGTCTTCTGATACATATTTTAGTAGTTGAATTCAGTAAGAATTTCATTGTGTCATGGTATTCTTACTTCAGTTATCATGTTGTAAATTGGGTAAATTCAATTTCATATGGTACACATTCGTTTCTGCGTGATTCTATAACAATGAGCATAATTTATGTATTTATTCGTTGTGTATATAATCGTGGTAACTCCGTTTTGAATTGTTGTCGAACAACGAAGTAAATAATTGTGAGACTATGTAGATAAAAATTAGTAAAGTTAAGCAAGTTTTACAGGCATATGAGTAGATTTTATTTAACATTTATACCGAATGGTTAAGCTGAATAATTAATTTCTTTTAGTTAGCTTAAAAATTAGTATATTTGATTTGATGAAAGCTTTTTGATAGGACAAGTGATATATGCATATGGTATTAGGAATATACTTATTTTCATTACCCTTCGTGTAAATAGACTGAACTCGAGAATGCATAAAATTCAGGATAATATTGATATAATTTGACCGTCTTTCTAAATACACTATCTATTCAAAAAATGTAAGGAAGAAGTATGTAAACAGTAGTTTTCTCCTTTCCTTACTGTCTCGGTTTTTCTCATTCTCCTATGCATTCAATATTTCATGTTGTTTTCAATTAATCGGAAAAAAACCAAACATGAGAAAAATCAAATCATAGGAGTGTGTGCACTTTATCCCTGCTAACCACCTATTTGTATAACCTCTAGGATTATTAGTAAAAACGAATGAAATATAACGATTATGCGAGTTATTCATTTTCATTTATTACTTTCAAAAAATATATCTGTATTATACACTGTCTTTGTTTATGTCAAAACATAAATATAGGAATAAAGAATTAGGCTAAATTAATATTAATTATGCCGATTTCTAGTGTATTCATTTATTATTTCTATTGTGATTATGCAAGTTCTAAAAACTTCTATCATTACTGTTAGTTAGTAATCCATAGTTTAGATTAGCAGTTGTTTCTGTGATTTTTTTTCATTATCTGAATAACGGCTCTTCTGTTTTGATCAATTGATTTGAACTGATAGTTGTAAGACAATATGGTTTGTTTATTCATCCTAATTTTTTTATTACACAGTCTGATGATAAAAATATGAAATAGAGATGGGTGGTGGCTGACAGTAGAGTCCTGGATACACGTTCCGTCCTATTTGTGATTCGTCAACTAGATGTCCCTGCGTTTCATAGTTGATATTCACTCCAAGACTCAAACTCATTGCCGTTCGCTTCAAACGACATCCCTTTTTTCTCCATTTAGTTAATGAGTTCAGACAGCCACTGGCTTGCCTAATTTAGTGAAGTTTAATTAATTTTTGTATTGGTTGTTTGGATCTTACCATCGACGTCAGGGACTATAATTGATCAGTCTCTTACTTTGCGGACTGCCTCGATATTGCCTTCAGTCACAACCATTATATGCAGAGATAGATGGTGGTTAGTTCTAAAAATCATTGGGGGAATCAAACAATCAATACAACAATTAATTAAAAATATAAATTATTCATAGAAATCATTTTTGTTTTCGCCATATTCGGATGAATAGTGATCAGTGATTAGAATATTTACAGTTGGATTGACGCTTCAGAACGAATTTCAGGAATTGTCCCGTCATGTTCAGTTAGGTCCCCTTTTGAGAATGATTTTATTAGGGCACAATGTTGACAAAAATTAATTATCAAAATTCAGCTGAATACAATAACGAGGGAAGATAATTTAAAGATAAAAACAGAGTTATACTCTGGACATTTATCAGTTTTAACAAGAAACTTTTACGTTATGAGTAATTTTCTTTACCGAGCAACCAATGAGACTTTATTTCAACCATTTTTGACCTCATATTGGAATTGTTTTGTTCTACTGATTTCTTGAAGTGATACATAAGTATTTTTTTAAACTTTCTTACACGATTTATTTCATGCGAATTGGTTAAAATTATACATTAGATGACATTTTTGGTGATGATGGTGTCAACTAATCCATAGATGAAACAACATTTCATGGGTGGCATTGAGAAGTGATTGCACCATATCGTGGATTAACGAAACTTGAAGATGATAATCCTTGAAAACTGAGTGGAAAGTCTAAAACAATAATATTCCCCACGATACCTGAGAATCCTGGGTTCTACCTCATGTGAAATCGTAGGTGTTTGCCGTTAAGTAACTTTGATAATTAGAAAAAACCAAACATCTAATGCTTCATTGTTTCTGTAGTTAACCAGTTGATGATCATGTCATCGTGAAAAGTAATTTTTAATTATATTTGAACTTCTCAATAGTGTTTTAATAAATACTAGCTAGGTAATTTAAGAACAATGTAGTTATTGGAGAGACTTCAGATATGCAGCAGTCCTAACGAATAATAGAAAAATAATCTGGATATTTTTATTGAACACTTAGGCACGTTTATGTTTTTAAAGAACATTAAACTTCTAATTATAGTTCATCATATGGTAAATTCAAATGTGACAACAATACTGAATTAATCTATAAATTTTCACCGAAATACATCAGTAAACATACAATTGCTGAAAATATGATAATGTTTTGTTCTTATTGCGAAATTAATTATTACATGTGTTTTCTAGGGGACATTTTTGTTACAAAAACACAGTCATTTCATGTAAAACCGTGTATGATTCTTTTTAAACAATTGCAATCGTGGTAGTAGAATAAAAAACAAGCTTGTTTACATAAATGAAACTCTCAGATAAATTTACTGATATCGGTGAAACTAAAACGCCGCCTACTGAAAAATGACATGGACATGATATACAATGATGTATTATCTGTAAGCGCAGCATAAAAATATTATTGATGATTAACAACAGAGAACAGATCATTGAATGCTGGATACTGACACCTCAGCGTTACGTTCATCAAATCTTGATGGAGTAATGGAATACAATGATGGATTTAAGGCTTTCTATTTGGAATTAAAACAAGAAGCTTCCTTTGATGTGATTTGCTGATAACTCTAGTCTACAGAGTTTGCAGATTCATAAGCTCAAAGTTCTGTGAACTAGTGTCATAGCGAGATCACCCTTTTAACTTATGTTCACCTAATATATATATTCATCCATAATTATCGTATTGTTGTTTTTTGTTTCTTCTTACAGCATTTAGTAAAGCCTTCCCTTCCAGTAACAGTAAATATACATCCATCACTGTCAATATTTCATTCATCACCATCATATAAATATATAGGTGATTTAAACCGTTCATGGTATCCCGGTGGTGGTAGACCACCTTTACCACCAACAATGGCGGAACATGTTAAAATAGGTCCACCAAAACAAGTAGCTGAAAGTGAGCTGGGTTTTCTCGAAAAATCCCCCATCTTCCATGATAACAATGCTAATAATACTAATAACGTATGTTTAACTGCTGATTAATTTGAAAAAAGCAAATAAATCATCTATTTGTAAGCAGGCAGAAACTGATTGTCGTTTTTAATATTATTTTATTACACATTGATTTTTTCATCCATTGTGAAACTAGTTAGAAGGAAATGAATTTTTCACACTTGCGATTATTAGATAAATGCAAGTCGTAAGTAATTAAACATTTTTTCCATCTGAAAGAACCAACTTCTTTGCTTAAATTAGACATAAAATATGACATTCAAAAGAATTATTGATATTTTTGATCACAATTTTGTAAGAATATACAAATGAATGTCTATGATCAGTCAGTATTTTACTATTGAAGAATATGAGATGTAGATTTTTAAACCTTTTCTTCATGGGTTAGTTAACTATCATAAGAAAAAAAAATAAATAATTACTGATAAAATCTGTTGTCAAGTTTTTGTTTCATTGCACACCAATTTAATAAATGTCACTAAGTAAATTATCCTCAAATAAAAAAGTACTCCATGGCTTATTCATTGTAGTTCAAATAAGAGCAGAGCTATTTATTCCATTAAGATCTTTCGGTAATAGACCTATTTTAGTTGTCTTGTGATATAAAACAATCATCATCTAACTTCCTTGGTGAGCATCGATTCTTTTCCATAAACTCCGGACTTCGTCATTTATCATGTAAGTTATCTTATATAAAATATCTTGAAGAAAGTCACCTGATACCTTTTGGTTCGTTGTTCAACAAAGTGGTGTTCATCTATAGAATGGAAAAATAGTGCATTTTAGAATCTTGTACGAAACTGAACTAATTCGAATTCTCATAAGTTTACTGCATTACACATGTAAACTAAAAGATCTTCAATGAATAAGACAGATTGGTTTATTCGCTGGAAGCTTCATCTAGCATAGCTTCAATTTAATACCATCACATTTAATGACCGAAAATTAAAAGAAAAAACACGATGTTCACAACACACAGTCATAGTCTCTTCGGTTAACTATTTTTCACAACTTCACCAGCTGATTTAACTCCTCTACAATGAACCGTATTTTTAACGCCACACATAGCGTTACTTTTTGATCAAATGACACATTAGTAGTGTTTGGATAATACCTTCAAACGATTACTCGTGAATGTGTTTAAAACGATATATGTTATAAAAACATTCAGTTAAACTGTACTGTTAAAAAAATTTACCATGTGAAATAATAATCCAATAATTACTAATGATCAACTTCGAGATAAATATCTAAGAGCTGTTAAGTCAATTGATACATTTAGACTTTAAAATCTTTAGGGAACTTACCCTTAGAGTTAGGGTTTATTTATTTCAATAAAGTCACAAAGCGAACATTTGAAATTCGTAATTGTTTCACATAGTGAATTGCATAAGATTCTTTTATGATTGGGTATTATGGTGTACGTAGTTGTCAAGTTTTACTTGTAAGGTATGAAATAATCAATAAATATCCAAATTGAAAGGAATGTCTCTGCCGAGAAATATATGGTCTAAAATTTAGAAAAGAATAAGTTTACTGAAACACAGGTGGCTGAAATAAAATGTATTCTAGCAATGAATTTTTTTGACATAAAATAATGTGATTTAGAAGCAGTATATTCAGGTGTAGCAAGCGCGATAACATAATCTTTACTTACAGGTTTTAGTATCCGTCAATCAAAAAAATTTTCATAGAATGAATCTACACGGTTTTAAAGCAGTTGGCTGTAGAGTAATTAGAGTGCATAAAAACTAGCTAATTCAGCAGTAGGAGAACAAATAATGTTCACAGTGGCACCGCGCACATTCATGGCAATAGATCTTTAGTCACTATCGAAACAGTATTACTTTACTAACGTGACTACTCAAGTTACAAAAGAAAGAAAAAGTCGGTAAGATCGATTACCAGGTCGTTTTCAAACTTCAAAGTGATTTCCAACCTATCACGGTATGTTTTTCAATTCTGTTTTCAAGGAGATTCACGTTTTTAAGTTTTAATGTGTAAGGTGTCAGAGAATGGTTATTATAGTTTTAAAACTGAAACTAAACAGATCGTCTTTATTTTGTGACAGTTTTCCAGATTATCTACATTGACTTTGACAGCTTGTCATGACGTAATACTGATTTCGTTCACGCTTTTGCAACCTCTAGGTAACTAATATTCCTCAATTATATGTGAAACCTTCTATTTAATGCTATAGGCAGATAAGTTATCTCAGAGTTATTCAGTCAATAACTGGCCTTCAGTGGGTTTATACTTTTTACAATAGTCTGGCATGCTGATAAATTTCAGCGAACCAAGTTACAGTGTGCCAACTACCAAAGTAAATTATTATGTATATCTGGGGAGACTTTCGGCCAATTAGAAGACAGTGTTTAGTCATAGTAAGATTAAAATAAGAAAACTTTAACTGATATAAAATTCGAATATGATCAATGAATTCTTCCGGGTGGTAGATTGGTTTATTGTTCGAGGGGTATAAAGTCGTCCAGTAAAGAAATTCATTTGTAAGGCTTGAAATGATTCCTTATACGATGGTAAATAGTGTTCAAAATGTCCGTGAATTGCTTCTTTGGCGGTGGTGTGGGTTCGTAATGAAATTTTACCTGGCTACTCCACTATAGTGTAGTTTATACAAATCAGTATTTTGTTATATAAAATAAAACGCTTAATGGTTTAAGCTCAATTTTCTGTATCAAGGAATTCTTATTATACAGATGCCTTCTAGACACACTACACGAATCACCAAATACCTTCAGAATTTCATAAAATATATTTACTGTGTAGTTTTCATTTCAGGTACGATCTGCATTAGACGTAGCAAGGGTTTCTCGTAAATGAGCCTACATAATACATGTAGTCGCATAGTTAACACTTGTTTATCAATTTTTAGTGAACTGAATGAGATTTTACTAAGCTCTACTTAAGGTGAAAACTATTCTTCAGTAAGTTTGAATTCATTGCAAACACAGAACTGTAGATATCTTAAATCTAATGAGTTCGGGACTATAATACACTCTAGTTCTGGCCTCTAGCCTAACTGATCTGACATTATGATGTATTCTGTTTGATGTTATGTGGTTGAAGCAATAGTGGGACGTTCTGGCCCTACGTTTGTTTGCAAGTTGATACCCGCCTGTATTGCATGTGTATAATCTCTAAACGTAATGCCAAGTGATAAAAGTTCGAATTCAACTTTTATTTCATTATATTTTGCAAAATGTACATTGTCTTTTAAAACATTTGAATTGATAACAAAATAACTTTGATATTACTTGGTGTGAAAGTTATTATAAAATGTCATTTTATTTACACATTATTTCATTTTTACTTCTTTGAAGAATCCGCAACATATTTTTTAACAGCCTTTGTGAATATTTTCATTTTAACAACACTGTGATTCTGCAAAAGTCTTCTGAGAGCTCTATATTTCCAGACTTTTCGATTATATAGTTTCATTTATATGAAAGACACTCAAGAATAACAAACTTTTTGACGAATTTTGTTTGTTTTTTTCTCCTTTTTTGTGACATAAGTGTAAATAAAAATGGTTTAAAAGGCATGTTTGCGACTAACCGACGTTCATCCGTTAGCTTGTACACTGAACTATCTATTGGGTTGGAGCGTCTTTTCGAATGTCAATCATAAACTGACCTTTACTTCTTTTTGCTTGTTTTATTTGATGAATAAATTTGTATTTGGTGTTGATTTTTGTTGTTCTGTATTTCTGTATGTATGTGTTACGGCGTTATTTCTTATCATGCTATGTAAATAGAAGATAAAAGTTTGGTAAAGAGAACTGAGGGAAATAAAACAGAAAAAACTGAACTTCTTCATAATCTTTGAAGGCATCTCGTGATCATATGGTAGCAAACAAAAGTGTAAATATTCTTTTCTTGTTTATTTATTCCTAATACTGGAGTTTTAGCTTAAGGTGAACTGAGTGCTTCGTGATGTTGTTTAATTAAAGTAACTGGTAATAAATGAAGAACAATTGAGGAAATTAAAGGCGGTGAATTACTGTTTATTCATAAACTAGGAATTCTTAACAATGCCAGATGTCATCTTTAATAAGGGAACAAACCGAACGCCTTTAAGACTTGGAGTGAGGTAATTATAATTGAATTGAATTTACCTCCTATGGTTAATATCTAACTTTCGTCATTTCATAATATATCATAATCTTCATTGAATTTAGTTGATGCATAAATATTCCATTTCTAGCTTGGATGACTACATATTACACTTTCATGTATATAGAGTGGGGAATGGTTTTTGGAATCTGCTACACATATTTTTTACGTTAAATGTATTCAAATTACAGATAAATGTGTATATTTTATTACAGAATGGTTTAACAAATTTTGAGTAGTTAGGAAATAATTCTATATCCATTTGGGAAAAACGTAAAGCTTACACAAGTTATAAATATATTGAGTTTCTTTTGAAAACCCTAATTGAATAATTATGAAATTATACAGACGTTTGCCAAATAATTAATCCTGGATCACAAGCAAATTCAAACAGTCAGTGTAGTGACATATAATTCATTAATCCTCTGTATGATTAACAGTTTCTAATTAGTACCATCTTATTCAATGTTCATCGCTACTTTGACACACAACGATAACACTCAGTGGTTAAATTAAAGCGAAATCCTGAAACAGTGGAGATTTGCATCCAACCAAAGTTGAAATCAGATGATAATACCATTATGTGACCTAATTGAGTAGAAGACAGACTGATGATCAAAAGGCTGCTAGTTTGAAGAAAAACGTGGTTCAGGGGTGTTTTTTTTACCTTTGATTGTTGTTTGTATTTGAGGAATTTCTTTATTCATTAATAAAATGAAAGTTGGTTCGCAAATGTTAAACGGAGATTACGTCAATTATAATGCATTATAAGATACTTTTTAATCCAATATTTACTGAATGAACGTTTTTGATTATTGCATTTTACGTTAAACTATTACAGGATGTTTTTTGTGTAATACTAGCCTCACTGTTGTGACTATGTCCTTACGAGAAATAAAACATTATTAAGTTATGGAAAACTGTGATCAGGTGATCAACATAACCAAAAAAACATATTCTGATGCATTATATAATTCAATGAATACATTTAAAAAGAACTAATAAACAGTGTTACAAATCAATGTAAATCGAAGTCAGGTCAAACTTGAGACAAAATGATAAATGCTCAAAATATCTCTTTTGCTCTGTCTCTTTTTAATTAAATGATTTCTTAGTGTTTTTATGTCCATGTTGAAGTCGATCAAGAGTAAGCAAAGAAATCAGAACAATCGAAACTTAATTTGTTATTGAAATGTAGTTCATAACTATTGGATTGTGTAAAGCTTAACGGTATATAATTAGCAAAAATTTAGAATAAATGGGTATTCTACGCATTCGTGAGTTTACAGATGAATGT